CATCGCTACGATCCCTTATTTAAATCGTGGTTGCTCAAATGGAGAATCGAACCTGAAACCGTGCGTCTATTCACGCTATCTCCAATTCGCTAATCATCTGGACAACCAACATATGGGTAAGTTAGGACTTGAACGTCAGAGTCTTCTAAAACAATTATTAATCTTCGTAATTAATACCTTAATCTAAAATGTAACATGCCATAAATTTGGAAGGTTTTCATACTATATATAGCTTTGTTGACCTTGGTGCGATTGTCCAATTAGGATTAGTCAAATATCCTCACATAAATACTAAATTTTCTTTTAAATAATATTTATTATCGATTTCAACTAGGCATTTTTTTTTTTTAATAACTCGGGATATCTGGACCAGCTTGCGCACACCTCAACTAATCATCTAGGGCTCTGAAGTTGATAGCTGAATAAATTCTCTCAATGGTCACCCCTATTAGTAGCTCAGATGGATTAAACTCAAAACCTCTTGAGTAATATACCTAAGAGTCATAATTGACCGCTGTAACAATAGTGATCGAGATTCTTTTTACATTAATATAATGATTTGGTAATACCGTTTCATATAAATATTATATCTATTAATCTCGAGTAATACTACATATATAATATTATGTGACAAAAGATGATTTGATAATACCGCTATTTATATGTGCAGTATTATTCATTAATCTCAACCTCGATGAATTGTTTGGAAAGAAACGACGCAAGAACACTATTCCATTTTAGGGAAAAAAAAAGTACAAATAAATAATAAAATAAAAAATAATTTTATATTTTAACCAATGTTTTTGTACCATGTTTCATGCCAATAGATTTAATTATTATTTTTATTATAAAATAAAGCCAGTAGTAGCTTGCGTGACATGCCATTAAAATAAATATTAAATTATTATTAAAAATCATAAGGAGTGGAGTGCCCATTTAGAATAACTAGTGGCCAAATCAAAAACAGTTTTAATTAATTAAATTAAATTAATTAATAATGAGATTTTAAAACGCAAAGGATATTCATTGGTTGAGCCTTTTATACCAAACTGTAATTAATAAATAATATAAGCTAAGCCCGGGCCGGCACGTTGGACTCTAGAAGCCGAAAAAATAATATGCTTTTATTCAATAAACTAATTATTAATTCTTTATATTATTCTTTATTATCAACTCATTCAATAAATTAATTATTTTTATAAATCGAATTTGCCAACTGTAATCTTATTTATTTAGGTGAGTCGGTTTTTCATATTTAATTATTTTATTAATTTATTAAAAACATGGATTTCCAAGTTGACAAGTAAATAAATTAAAAATTTCTTTTAAAAAATATGTAATATTTTTTTGGGTCAAAGACACAATTAACAAAACAATTTATGAAATACTTTATTCTTATATCAATTGAATTTATTCATTTTATTTTATTGTATTTTTTGGTGATCGAGAGTGTTCAGACAGTTTGTGCATACCTTAACTAATTTTTCGAGATCCTGAAATTGATAGTCGAGTAAATCCCTTCAATGGCCGTCTTTATTGACAACCCAGATAGATCAAATTTAAGATTTCTTAAACAATACACAAAAGAGTCATAGTTGACCGCTGAATATCCATTTTCTTCACGTATTATGAAATAGTTAAATAATCTCGTTAATATAATAATTATTTATATTAGTTAGGATGTAGTATCGCTTAAATATGAAATAAATTTGTATCTTTAGAGACCATTAAAAATCCCAAAATAAAGAATTTTTTTAATAATCTCAAATTTTTGTTAATAATTATACGTTTTTTTAATAGTTTTCCAAAATAATTATTTTTATGCAATTATTCATAAAAAAAAAATTTATATTAATAGTCAATGAGAAATTGACACGTTGAGATTTTGCAGTTGACAAGTACGCGGAAAAGTCTATAATATTAACAGTCAATGAGATATTGACACGTTGTATTTGCAAATATTAGTGAAATAATTTTAATTTAAAAATGTTAAATTTATTTTCTGGTGAGGGAAGTGGGGCCTCTTCTAGCTTTAAAAAATCAGACCATTTATAAATACAATAAATTCCCCGGTTCCAAATCCATGACCTGATGATATAAGTGCTGACGTGGCTGGGTCCCATTGGATAATGGATGTGGGAGCCACAAGGGACTCATAAGTCTAAGAGAGTTTCTTGTCTTTGTGTTTGGTTGTCTGTGCATGTTTTGTTCGGTTGTTAGAATATCATTAACCCCCCTGATGTTTAACTGAATTTTAAATTTCCTCTAAATTTTTTAGATAACAAAAACGAAGCATCGTCTAGTTTTATATGTTAAAATAAACGGCATAAAGGCAATTCGATTAAATATTGATTAACTTATAATAGTTTAAGTTTTAACGGTTAATCGACAGTAGGGAAATGTTTGTTATTTTAGAAAGAGCAAACGACATATTCCTACCTAAAGTTTAGCAAAATCCCAAGTTGATACCCTTAGTTGTATTTATTCTAAATTTTCACCCTTAAATTAATACAGTTAGTGACTATTGGAGGTGGTTAGAAACGGTGAGTGACCTCAGTAAGTGAAGGTATGAGTTTTGTAAAAGAGGTTGCGAGGAGTCTAATAGTGGTCTCGGAAGTGATTTTGCACTTTGGAATCAGCAAAAAAAGTAAAAAACCATTAGTATGGATGCTACTAATGTGAGCCGTTTTTTGCTAACATGAGCACATCTTCTACCAAAACAAGCGCTGACACACTTTAGCATGCTAATATATGCTATACTAGAGTGAAAAGTTAGAAATCTGTTAAAATAAAGGAGACGACGTTAGTTTAAGGGTGACAATCTGGAATAAATACAATCAAATATATCAATTTGAAATTTCGGTAAACCTCGGATGCGAATATATCATTTTCTCTTTTAGAAACTATAAGGGGACTTTTACTATTACATGGAATCTCATGAGTTGATGCAACTTAAATTATGATGACAATTATTGTACCCTTTGGACACTTTTGAGCTCTCTTTTAACCTAACCTTAATCTTGGGCATTTCTACTTTCACTTTAATGCATAAAAAGCCAAACATGGTGCTCTTGTCTATGAATCCTAAGTTTGGTTTGTGTCAGCTTGCATTTTATTTCTTCATTTGAAATTTTGGTTGAATAATTGGAAAGTGAAAATCCATTCAAAATCTCACTACGATTCCCTCTTTTTAATTCAAATATACCCTTTTAAATATGATCGATCTACTTTTTTTTTTTTTTTTTTTGTTCTTTTGTAACTAAGGTGTCCAGATTAACTTACGCACACCTTAACTAATCATCGAGAGAGACTTGCGCATCAACCTACCGCTATAGTCCTCCACTTAAAATTGTAGATACTTAGAAGGGGAATCGAACCTGAGACTAGGGGTGTTCAAAAAAATGCAAAAATTGAACCGAAAAACTGGTTAACCCAAAAAAAAGGTTCGGTTACGGTTCGAAAAATTTAAAAAATAGGATTTATGGTTCGGTTACCAGTTCGGGAAAAAATAAAAAACGGTTAACCGAAACCAGTTTTACAAATATATATATATATATTAAATAAAAATAAAAATATATATTATATATTAAATAAAAAAATAATTTCATTTTGGACTTTTATTTGTATCAATTTTTAATGTATTGTTAGTAGTGGTTAATGGATATGTATGAATGTTTAATTTTTATTTGGATATATATTGTTTATATTTACAATTTAATTTAGGAAAAAATTAAAAAAAATAAGTTTTATAAAAAAAAAAAAGAAAAACCGGTTAACCGCTTTTGAACACCTCTACCTACGACCATGCACTTATCCATACTATCCCCAATTTGTTTTAACCATATGGGCTACTCACGAATGAGTTCGATTAATCTATTTGATAACAACTTATCATGTAATGCTTCGAACTGGGTGGGGGTATGTGCGACTATTCATATCGATCTACGTCCTTATTTCGGTATGTTATAAACATGTTTTCATGATTTAAAACAGAAAAAAAAATAAAAAAAAAAACCGATCCGCGAAGCTATAATTATTCCATTAATTAAAAGTAGGGGAGGTTTAATTAAATTTTTGGAACACAAGGGATGTGAATCAATTTCTTCAAACTTCAAGAAAGTTAGTTCATTTACTATTTCACCCTAATTATAATATATGTTTAATATTTAGGTTGGAGTAGCTAGTTTATGTCTTTTTATATATGAATATATGACTAGTCAGTAAGCACAGACTGACCCACCCCATCAAGTTTTATGAAGAATAAGTAAAACCCATTGCCATTGATTCAATTATTTTATTTTATTATTTTTTAAATTTCGATACAATGAATGTACATACGAACTAATCACCTAGAATCCTGAAGTAAACGATCGAGAAATCCCTTTAGTGGCCTCCCCTACTAGTGTCTGGACAGACTCTCTCAATAGTCGTCTCTATTAGTATCTGGGAGGACTCCTACTCAGGAATCCATGTGGTGATTCTGGTTCACACACGCATCCTCATTAGCTTATTGTATGCGTATCCGTTACAACAGATGAATGTACATCGAGGGATACACGTTTATGCGAAGTATGTTGAATTAACACGTTTTTATTAGTTGATTGTATGCGCGTCTGTTGCTCAAAAGACTTTCATCTTTTATACATACTTGACGTACATTTGTCGAAAACAACTATACATACAATAAGTAAACAAAGGTATACATGTATATCATATTCGTTTGACATAATACATTCTTATTAGCTTGAACTTTCACCAATATATTGAAGATCTATAAAAGCTCCTCCCATAATCATATTTCCTCAAAATGCAATTCCTTTATTAATTTCTTTCACAAGGACCACATCAAAAGCTCAGCACAATAAAAACTCAGAATAATGGGGCCTCATAGAAAGCTGCATTCAAACGTAGCCAACACACACATTTATTAATTAAGGTTCACATTCATGCATTCATGAATTTAACTTTCTACAAGTGAAATTATTGGTCAAAGAAAGTGATTAATTTTCTCTGTGAAAAAAGGACAGAATTTCATCAGTAACTTGCTCAGCTTTCTCTTGGTGTACAAAATGATGTCCATCCTGGATTATGACTACTTCAATGTCAGGTACAAGGGCCTTAAATTCTTCTCCTTGTATGTAATCTTTTATCCCAAATGATTGATAGCCTGGATTTTTGTCACCCGTGATGAATTTTGTAGGCACTCTGATTTTGGCTCCTTGCCATCCTCCTGTTAGTTCCCAATTCCTGAATCAATTCATGCAGTGTGACAGTTTAGAACTAGAAAAGTGTTCGAGTCCTATATCGATTAAGCACATTTTAGTCTATTGGTTTATAAGATGGGGTAATCCTCTCATTTAACATGACTTTATTAATAAGTAGTCAGACCCATCTCAAATTCTATGATAATATTAAAGTTAGGCCTAGTCGAATTGAGTGTTTAACTAGAAAGTAAGGAGTTAGAGCCAACATTACAGGCATGACCATGAGGGAGAGTGTTCGAGTTATATACCGACTAGACACGCTCAAACCTACTGATTTATAAGAGGGAGTAACCTTGAATTCTATAAAAAAGCAAATTAACTTACATGGCCAAAGCGCGGTAGTAGTTCAAGGCGCCAGTGAAACCAGTTGTGTTGAATTTATTAGCAGAGAGTTGCAGTTCTTCAATGCTAACCCAGTCAGGTAATGAAGATGGAGTCTCGAGAAAGTCTATTACATCAACACCAGGAGGAGCAGATAAATGATCAGGACCATCCAGAAGTAAGAACTTCTTCAATATTGTTAAAGAGTCGTATTTGGAGAATGATTTTTCAGCTTTTCCTGGCTCCTGAAACTGAGTAATGTAGAACCCTTCACCAAATATATTGGCGAAAAATTCAATTGGGTTGAGCTGTGGGGAGCGTGGCCGGTAAGGAACACATAGGCTAACGCATGCTTTAACTCTATCTGGTCTGAAGAGGCAAAGGTATGAAGCAAGTGTTGCACCCCAGTCATGACCCACCACAAATGCCTGTAGGGTTCATCACAGGAAAATTATAATATAAAAGACAGATTACATGATTTATCTTGGTTCGTTCAGATTAAGGAACTACGTCCAGTATTCAAACAGAGAATTACAACGGCAACTCACTCTAGCTCTCAATTCTTTTTCACATTAGGTTTCTCACTATTACAAAATACAGCTTATCCGAATCTAACCCGACTCAGGTCCAAATATTAAGAAGGATCACTCCGAATGAGTCGTAGTAGACAGACAATCCATCAAGGCTAAGAGAAGTATACACCATATCCAAGAATGATGCTGTGGGCATCTTAAGATGCATATTGAAAACATGTTTTCATGTTTTCATGTGGCCTATCACCGATGCTTTTGTTTCCAAAAATGTGTTTCATGCAGCAATACAGCTGGTTCAGTATCAACAAAAACTGTACTGTTTCTCGAGAAAGCTAAACAAACAGAATAATAACGAAAGCAATAAAAGAACACCAGAGTTTATAGTAACAGATATTAAATAAAGTGTCGGTCATCTCTTAATTACCTGTTCTTCTCCAAGCTTGTCTAGCAGGCCAATCAAATCTCCAACAAGGTGGAAAACTGTATAAGATGCGGGGTTCTGAGGGCAATCAGAGTCGCCATAGCCTCGCATATCTGGAGCAACCACATGAAAGCCATGTGCAGCCAAGTGATTAATCTGGTAATTCCAGCAAGACCAAAGCTGAGGAAAGCCATGAATGAGAAGAACAAGAGGTCCTTGGCCTTTCTCTGCTATGTGCATCCATATCCCATTTGTTTGAATCCTTGTATGCTTTATGTCACTCATGGTGGTGATCCTTCCTTCTTCCTGATTTTTACTTTCTCTTATTAATTGATTTGTTCTTGATAACTTTAGAGGATTGAAGTTTTCATATTATTTTTCAATTATGAATGCTTGACTTTTGTTCCCAGCTTTTGAAAATTCCACATATGCTTGCAGGCTACGTTTACTATGTTGTTTAGAAAATTCAGCATTTTATTACTAGGTCAACCAGAGATTTAAGTATTAGGTACATGTTTTTCTTGATAGATTAGGTTTTTTTGTTTTTGGGTAATGCTAGCTCAGCGAGGAGATAGCTCAAACAAACGTGGCGATGGTCAATAGCGGATTCAGAAATTCTTGTTAGGGTGGGCCAAAATAAAATGTAATAGTATATAATACTCATATTATATGTTTTTAGTTGAAATTGTCATAAAAAGAAAAAAAAAATTTGAGGGTGGATTTCAATTTACTCTAGATCCGCCCGTGGCTATGATATTATAATAAAGGGATTCGCACTGGAATTGACGAACAATCACTATCATTATTAGTGTTTATTAGTATGGAATAGAAATTGAAATGAGGGGTGGCCAAGTGGACAAAATTTTCAAAAAATGGTTTGATGAGTGGCTCTAATATTATAATAAACAGACTTGTGTAGAACTCATTCTCAAAAACTAATTCAAGGAAAAAGGAAGCCCAACTAGGGGTGGGATAATCCGGTTAACCGAACCAGTTTATCCAAACCGAAAATCGAACTGGTTTTTCGGTTTGGAGAAAATCCAAACCGAACTGAATTTTCGGTTCGGTTACCGGTTAACCGGTTTTCAAATTATCCTTTAATCCTAAAAATTCTTCAATGTTTCATTTAAGTCCCTAAATTCAAATATTTATTATTTTATATATAATAATTTTTTTGCTTTTATATTTAGGGTAAAACCGGTTTAAAAACCGGTTTTTTGAATTTCACAAACCGAACCGGTTTGTAAAAAAACCTAATTTTCGGTTCGGTTAGATTTGATTTTCGGATTATTTATCCCACCCCTAAGCCCAACCACATATATGTACCGTTCAAGGGAAAAAAATGGAGTTTTGAAGGATTAAAACTATAATGCTTTTCCCTTTTTCAACAAGTTGAGCTAATGCAAACATCTAGAAATAAAGTTATGATAATTTTGGACCAGCTTTTTTATTACTTGGCCAACCAAAGATTTAAGTGTTAGGTACATGTTTTTCTTGAAAGATTAGTTTTTTTTTTAATCGGGCAATGCTAGCTTAGCGAGAAGAGAGCTCAAACAAACGTGATGATGATATTATAATAAAGGGATTTGCATTGGAATTGACGAACAATCGGGCGTGGAATATTAGTGTTTATTAGTATTGAATAGAAACTGAAATCGGGCATGGCCAAGTGGTAAGGCAACGGGTTTTGGTACCTTAGAATCAAACTCTAATTTTTGTTTTGATAAAATTTTTTAAAAATGGTTTGATGAGTGACTCTGATACTATAAAAAACGAACTTGGGTAGAACTTACTCCCAAAAACTAATTCAAGGAAAAAGGAAGTCCAACCACATATATGTACCGTTAAAGGGAAAAAATGGAGTTTTGATGGATTAAAACTATAATGCTTTTCCCTTTTTCAATAAGTTTTGATGGACCATCTTCTTTAACAAATAAAGTATAAAGCTAAAGTAAGACTACTCATTTTTCATAAGAAGTTGTGAATAGTTCATGCCATGAAAGTTGTGTTCAATAATGGATCAATGTTCCCCTTGAAAGATCATCCAATCAAAAATAGGTTATAGTATTGGGATGAGATTTTTTTTTTTAATTCAAAATTTATTATTTAAATTAGAACTCAAATTTATGGCCATTGATTCATTGAAATCTAATGGATATAGGATGAAAGTTGGAGGTGGTTATTTATATTACCACCTCATCAATTTTTAAACCATTAGATTGTAACGAATCAACGGTTGAAAATTTGTATCAACAATTTAAGTCAAAAATTATTATCATGTCAATTTCGACCATTAAATTGTAATTAGGTTTTTTCTTTTACACCCTTTTCCCAAATCAAGCTTAATAAGGTTTTTCTTTACACATTTTTTCCCCCATTTTTTTTTATTCAGATTCACCCTGTTATGTTTTCCATGATTTTAGTATTATATTTTCATCAAACAAACAAATATTTAAAATAAAATGAAACGTTTCAAAGATTATGAAAATTCAAAATTTGGTTATGAAAATTTAGGGTTAGGGTTTATGTAAGATTAAATGTTAAAAATTAAAACAAAAATATAAAATAGAGGAAGAGTATATTTAGAAATTATAACGTTATTTCTTGTTTTGGTGGGAGATAAAAAGCATTTCCTAGTGCGCATAAGTTGGCCTAAACATCCCCGGTTATTGAAAAAAAAAAGGCTGTGTTTGTTTCCCTATTCTCAATCCTATCCAAAATACATATTTGTTTCAATATTCTCAAAATCAAATCCTATTCTATTCAACTCAAAATATTTAGATTTTTTTCAACCCCTAGGTTTGTTAATTTAACTAAACACCTATAACAATGAAAGTTTATAAATTGATAAAATCACCCCCACCTACCCACGTATTCTCGGCAACCGGCCACCACCGTCGTAAGGTGGTCGAAATCTGTCAAAAAGGCGCACGACCGACTGGATGTGGCCACAGTGCGCCGATGTGGCCTTTTCCAACAAAAGATCTAGCTGTTGACGGCCAGATCTAGCTAGATTTGGTCAGAAATGCTTTGGCCGTAGATCTAGCCGTTTTCGGCCAAATCGGCGCACTACCAGCTAGATCTAGCCGATTTTGTGCCATTCTGACGACTTCCGGCCACTGTTCGATGGTGATTGTTGGTTGTCGGCATTTAATGAGTGGGTGGAGGTGTTTTTGTTAATTTTAAAACTTTTATTGTAGGGGGTGTTTAACTAAATTAACAAATGTAAGAGATTAAAACAATAATTTAAATATTTTCAGAAAATATTTTCCAAAAATTTATCAAACACATTTTCATATTCAAATCCTATTTTCTCAATACCAATCCAACTCAACCTTTTCAAAAATACAATTCTAAATACTCTACCAAACACACTCAAAAGCACTTCCTAAATTGTATTCAAAATTCCAATTATGTATGGTCTGGTCTGGTCTTGGACCAACTTAATGGGCTGTGGGCTGGCTCGCTTAGTAAGATAAATGGGCGTGTCTTAAGTGGACAAAATCAAGCCCAACCCATAACCCAAGTTCCAATCTCGTATAAAAGATGCGAGGTTTTAGAGATTTTAGGTTCTTCCCTTTCCGGTTTTCCAAACTGAACGATGGGAAAGAACAAGAAAAACAGAGAAGGAGGCCAAAAGAGCGAACACAGTCCTTCCACTGTGTTCGTTAACAACTTGCCTTACTCCTTCACCAATTCTCAGGTACCTTTTTAATATAATTATCGACCTGTTTGGTTCCCGAGAAAGCTCAGTGTAATAAAAATAAGAAGTTCTTTTAAGTCTTTTGTTAATCGTGTTTTAGTTAAATTCGTTTTGTTATATTTTAAAAACCTAAATACAGCATTGAATGTTGCGCATGACGGAGCTCTTTTACTTATTATAAGTGTTTTTTTTTTTTTTTTTTTGGAATAATCTGCTTTGATTATGTTGTTACTTAGCTAGAAGAGACGTTTAGTGATGTCGGACCAATCAGGAGATGCTTTATGGTTACAAAGAAAGGTAAGTTGATGTGGACCTGATATCTTATTATTTGGTTGTAGTTTAGAACTGAAAGTGTAAGCTTAGTGAGCTACAATTTGTGACTATAATTTGGAAATATCTTATTTTAAGTGAGCTACAATTTGTAAATATAATGTGGAAATATCTTATTTTAGGAACTTGATAGTAGATTATTTAAGGTAATTGCGTTGTTACGCATTCAATTGTAGCTTTTAAGAACTTCAATTAAGTTCACAAAGTGTTTTCAACTCTGCATTCGGCTTAGTGATGGGGTGATGGATTTGGGGTTAACAAGTGATGTTTTCTAAAGTTTGTCCAATTCTTTTAGCCCATGGCATGTGCGGTTGTTTAAATTAATACATTTCTCCTTTTTAATGTTCACAGGCTCAAATGAACACCGAGGATTTGGTTATGTTCAATTGTAAGTTAGTTATACATTTTTTCTTTGATTGAGATTTAAGTGCATTTTTCTCTTTGATACTCTTTCTTCACGGTTGAGCAGTTCATCACAGTTTATTCATAAAAGCATCATAAATTGTCATTCATTTATGGTTTTGAACTATCTTGTTTCCTTTTTTGAATTAGAAGCTTTAGTTTCATAACAATGCTATGGGAAGCACTGAAGATATTGCTAATTTTCTTTTGTCTGAATCCTCTATTGAGTAACTGATATTCATTTGAAATAGATTTTTTTTTTTTTTTTTTTTTGAATTATGACTGCTTGGGGTGAGTTCATGATTGCTTATACCTTATGCATATGTACACACTTGTGCATCCATGCAGTTTGTTGCTTCTGGTATTTACGTGAAATTTCTGTTGGTTTCTCATGGGTACTGTTGCCTTGCCTGCATTTTGGGGATGGTTATGAAAAATGCAAACCTGATTTGATATTTCTGCTGTTGGATAAACAAATTTGACCATTTGGAGGTTCTCTTCTTTCTAATTTGTTAGGAACTTTTACTGATTTTCCCTTCAAACTTGATTGGAGATGTGCTTCAGTAAGTATTAGTTTGATTCCAGATGGAAAATTACACAATCCCTTAGCTGCCTGGGTAACATGGCAGTTGTAGTTTTTACTTTTTATTATTGTCAGTTGTTCAATTTTGCTGTTACTTGATGTGATGTTAGGAAAATATATAAAGGTGATATGCTTTTAAGGCTTACTTTTTTGCTTTGTTTTCTCATGTGTTGTAAACGCATCCATTTGCAGTGCTGTTATGGAGGATGCTAACCGTGCCATTGAGATGAAGAATGGTTCATCTGTTGGAGGTCGGAAAATTGGAGTTA